TGGGCGGGAAGCCGGGAGGAGGGGCGGAGAAGTGCCTCTGCCGGGCCAGGTGCAAGTGCCCTGGAGGGCGACATTCCAGGGGCTTCCCCAGCTGTGCTTTGGACCCGCAAGTGAGGGTTTCCATGGGACTCACAGCTTTTACACTCCGACCCCGCCGCCGTGACCACTAGCAAGGTCTTTGCCTGGCCGCTTGGCGGTCCACTCTTGGAGGAAGAAACCTCCGGGATGGGTCTCAGGGCCCGGGGCGTGGACAAGCGCGAGGGGTGGGGCGACATGGGGCCCGGGAGGCGGGCAGGGCGGTTCTCGGATAAGTCTCCAGCCCCCGCAGGGCCTCTCCAGGGAAGTTCAGGTACCCCGCGCGGTAGAAGCAGGAACGCTTGGCCCAGGCCCAGGCAGCTCAACAACACCAGCTCTCGTCAAAGCCCCCGAGGGTCGAAAGTTGCGTAGCCCTCAAGGCCACCGCTGCTCTGACCCCCACTCCCATCGCCCGGGCCCAGGCTGCCCCAGCGTGCGCTTGCAGAAGAGAAAGCAAATCCCACCGACCTGCGTGCCTCCTCTTTCTCTCCGCTCTACCCTCCAGCGCGTGCTCTGGGGTTCTGGCGTGCCCGGGCCTGCGAAGGGACGTCCTGGTTCAGAATGAGCGTCCAGTGGCGGGGGGAGGGGTGGGTAGTTTATATCTGTCTTGCTCTTATTTGATGTACACACACCTGCTCTATTTACTACCAAATAAAAGAAATACATCTGTGTTGCCAACAGAAACAGCTCGAGAGCTTGCTCACTGGTCTCCCAGGGCTCCGAGATGCTCGCCGGTGCTCAGAGCCAGACACAGTGGGACCCCCGGCTCCGAGTGAGGTCCTGGCCGATAAGCATATGGGGGTCTGCAGTGGGATGTTGGCGGCGTCCACAGTTTGTCCCAGGTGGCTGGTGAGGAGGGAACAGGAGGCATCTCTGCTCAGAAGATTTCAAGCTTCGTGCCGCAGAGGTTGCAGCGCCACCTCGCTCCCTACCCAATCTTCTCCCCAAGGTTCTTCCCAGCTTGCCTTAGCCTGGGGCCATCAGAGAAAACCAGCTGCCCAGGCACCCAGAACATGTGCCTGACTGTGTCTGCTGCTGTGATGCTGTGTGATCATAATGCAGATGTGATGCTCAACGCATATACAGGCTGTGTCCTGGGAACCCCTGCATATGGGGTCTGTCAGGAGCTCTAACTAAAGGGGGGGCGGGGTGAGTGTTTTAAATCACCTATGAGTGTGAGTGTATCCTGTATGTTGTCTGCGTGTGTGTCTGTTTGGATGGTGCAGAAACTATTAAGCCAGGAGGCCGATGCCATTGCACTGACTTAATTGGGGGTTCCCATGGGGGGAAGGATCTGAAGTTAGGATCAGAGAGAAGGCTGGATTCCACCATCCGAAGGGATAAAGTCAGGGGTGTTGGCTCAGTGTCCTATGGTTAGGGCATACCAGCAGCTCTGGCTTCCCAGGACAGATGTCTTGGAGGAGTTGAGTTGGAGGTACCCTCACGCACCCCACAGAACCCCTTCTGCTGAGTGGTTCTGGCAGCTCCTGGCAATTTCCCCAGAGGCAGCACCTACAGAAGCGTTCTGTCTGGGGGTGGGGGGCAGGGGGCATATGACCCCAGGCCAGTTCAGTCTCACAAGTGCTGTCTTGGCCTCTACACAGACTTGCAGTAGAGCCTAGAATGCTTCATGCTCAGGGAGCAGCTTCCATGCTGTCTCTTGCATCCTGAGAAATACTGCGACCCCCACCCAAAAGGAGCGAGTTGGAGGTTTTCTGCCTGGGCAGGCTTCTAGGCTCACATCTCAGCCAGTTCCAGGCCACAGCCCAGCCACGTTCCTCCCCCAGGGCATGCACCTTGGCTCCTGGAAGGGACTCCCTGGCCTAGGGCAACGGGGGGTCCTCAAAGGGAGGCCAGGACAAAGAATCAACTGTGCCGGTGGAGAACCAGCTATTTCTCGACTTTGTAAAGACCGGGTCAGTCAAGAACCGTTTTCTAGAATCCAAACACAAATAAAGAAGTATTTTGGTGGTTGATAACATCGTGTTCTGGCTGTAAAATCTAAGAACGTGTTTGCTATTGCAACATTATTTTTAATGAGCTGTTATTGGCCTGTCCCGCAGTTAGTATTGCCAACAGTAAAAGGCATCACTGTGTTTGCAGGTAACACATGGAATAACATATTTGGCCCCTGAATTTCTGTTTATTTTTCACTTGTGACACATGCCCTCGTTTTTATCCCAAACCAGAGGGAAATAAAGGCAGATCTGTCTTCCACTGAGGTCCAGGCTAAATCTTGCCATAAATACGCATGCCAGTTTATTTGGAGGCAGTTTCCCGTCAATAGAAAACGATACTCGACGTTTCAGCCACAGTATAATCAATCCTGTGGACTGGGCTTGAGCAACTGTAAAGCTCTGGGAGAAGGCGTGGGGGCGCGTGCAGGCGCTCCCCAGCGGCCGCGCCCGCGGTGTGCTCGCCCGAATCTTCGCCATCTCCGGGTTCCTCGTCTCCCCCTTCTTGACCCCAGCTTCAAAAGCGCCCAGCCAGGAGCCGGGCGTGCGGGCCGCAAGCCCTAAGGCAGGCTGCCGCGCCGCGCAGGCGAGAGGCTCCCGAGCGAGCCCCTGCCGCTGCCCTCAGGACCCGCGCTCGCGAGCGGCTCCGGGAGCGCGGGGTTCGGCAGCCGGTCTACGCAGAGCGTAGAGGCCGGGGCCTGGCGAGAGCCTGGGAACCGCCAGTGCTGCGCTTCCCCGTAGCGGCCGAGATCGGGGTGGGGGACCCAAAGAAAGCGTGCGCCCGCGAGGCGTTGGCGCGGTGCACAGAAAAGGATCTGGCCACGAGGAGACAGTCCTCTCGGTCGCCGCCGCCGCCGCAGTCGGGTGGCCTCTGCTCCCCGGCACTGGACAGACCATGACCGTGTCCACACCCGAATCGCCCCGGGAGCCACAGTGCTTCCAGGCCTGGGGAGGCCTCTCTATACCGGAGTCGCGAGCCGCGGTCTCTAGGGCTGGCTCGCCTCCCTAGGGTCGCCCTCTCTCGGCCTGGCCGCTCCCAGCTGGACGTCGCGATCGGCCTCTGGCTCCCCCGGCTAAGCTCCAAGTTCACCCCCTTCTTCCGTCCCCAGCCCGCATCCCGGAGGCAGCGAAGCCGACCCCACTCGGGCCCACGGTGCCCAGGGATGTTCTGCCCAGAAGCTTGCGGCTCCTAAAGGACCCCGCGGCCTGGGAACGGAATTCGAGGCGGCTGCCCTGCGATGGGAAATAACCAGTGGTCTCAGCTCGCGGCTGTCGCTGCGCTCGATTTCGCGAACTAGATAAGACTAGGTCCTCACCCCTTCCGCCCCGCATTCTTCCCTTGCTCGCACCGGCGTTTCAAGAGGCAGACGGCACCGGGGAGAGAGCGCAGCTCTGGTCTCGAACAAAGCCGCCTCTGTCTCCGCCGCCTCCCGATTAGAGGGGTGTACGTCGAGGTCGGACTCGGCCAGTCTGCAGAGGCTGCCAGAGAGCGAGGCAGAAAAGAGTTTGGAGACACCTGCTCTGGGGAAAACCGTCCAAAGTTACACACTCCGGCCACAGGAAATGCTTCGCTTTTCTTTTTAATTAATTCCATTTCACGACAACATGAAGTGTAACAATATTTTGTGATTCCCTCTCCCCTTCTTTTTCTTAAAAAGGGCCTGAATCCGGGCAGGGGGGAGGGTGATGGGTGGCAGGGACAAACTACCGCGGAACAACAGGTGTAGCCGACAGAAAGGAAAAAGATTGGGTGGCAGAGCCAGGAGCCCTGAGGAGTTGAGGGTGAACTTTACAAGAAATCTGTACATTTATCAAATAAGTTAAAATTCTCCTAAATTGATTGTCCTTCACTTAAAGCGCTCCAGTATGCCTATCTTACTTCTTCGAGCATCCCTACCTATCCTTGTCTCCTTCCTTCCCCCTTTTCTCCTTAATTTCCTCCTCATAAACGATTGACTGGGATTAGACATTGAAAACGTCAGCTTCTCTCCACAGAGGAAGAAGCAGGGCTCTCAGGAAATTTTGTACAATATTGCACAGGTCAAAAGTACAACAGTTACTGCAGAACAAAAAGATAGGGGGAGAGGATAAAAAATAGGTTGGTTTGTTTTTTAATATTGAAATCACTCTCTCAAAACAGGGAACAAAGTAACAATAGGAATATTAATAATAATTTACCAACAAATGAAACTTCCCAAACAGAGGCTACTAATAAATAAGATCATTCACACCAGGCCAGATGTGGAGGTGTTTCAAAAATCAGAAGTCTGATTGTGGGCTATCTTGTCCTTTCCCTTTAAACACTTAGAGAATTCATCCATCACAAAAAGGGACCAATGAAGAGGTGAACTGCGACAGACCTCTGCCGGAGAGAGGAGAGAGAAAAGTGGCCTGAGTCTGGGTTCTTATGAGAAGCTGCTCAGATTCTGAAAATTGGGGAGTAATTGATTGGGAGTAAAGGGGAACAGCCACACCCAGAGATCCAGAATAAAAGTACAATGTGAATTCTCTCTCTCCCCCTCGACTTCTGAAAAATAGTTCTTTAGAAAATGAATAAACTGGGGGTTCAGGCTTTGCGTTTACTTTCCTTGTATAAAAATAAACCCAAAAAGTCACAGCGCAATGAGAATCTGGGAGGGGGATGGGGGGTGAGAGGATCGCACATTTTACAAAAGCTTCCAGCCGAAATATTTGACCTGGAAATGTCTCTTTCTTGCTTTCTCTTAATATAAACCGAAACCAAAAGTAAGAGGGGAAGCGCCTCAAATCCATTAGGGGTGAATTGCACGAAAATGCATTGCAAATACTTACAAAAAAAAACGCTACCGACTGGGGGAGGGGAGGCCGGGGCCGCGCGCCGGAGCCCCGGCTCCCGAAGGCCGCTGGACGTCTCGGCGCCCTCTGCCCGGCCCAGTCTCCTCCGGGGCCTGGAAGGGGGCCGGGCGCGCCCTCCTCCTCCCCTCTCGGGCCTCAGACGGGCCGGAGCAGCGGCACGGACGAGACCACGGGGTGCGAGTAGTAGACAGGGTGCGGGAAGGTGAGCAGCGGCTGGCTGACCGGCACCGGGGCCCCCGCGGCCGCGGCCGCCGCGCCCTCGGCGGCCGAGTTCTCGTGGTAGAGGATGGGCACGCGCACGATGCGCTGCGCCGCGGCGTGGCTCAGGTTGGCCGCCTCCAGCTCGGCCGCCAGCTGCCGCTTCCACTTGTTGCGGCGGTTCTGGAACCAGATCTTGACCTGCGTCTCGGTGAGGTGCAGGGACGCGGCCAGGCCGGCGCGCTCCGAGCTGCTCAGGTAGCGCTTCATGTCAAAGGTGGACTCAAGCTGGAAGACCTGGCTGCGCGAGAAGACCGTGCGCGTCTTCTTCTTGCGGCACGCGGGCTTCTTCTCCGGGCTCTCTGCGCCCTTCTTCCAGTCCTCGGTGCCCGGCGTCGCCGCCGCCGCCTGGGGGCCGCAGGCTCACACCGCGACGGCTTCCGGGCCCCAGGCATCGAGGCCTCACCATTCCCGCGGGCCTCCTTCCCAGCTGGGCCAGAAGAGGGGCGCCGCGCCCCGACATCCGACCTTCTCCCGGGGACAGGCTGGAGCGACCCGGAGACGGCGGCAGGGCCGGTTTCTTTCTTTCCCTCAGTTCTCCCACCAGGGGCCCGCGGGCAGATTCGCCTCCAGCTTAGGCACCCCCCGCCCCGGGTCACTCCCTTCATCCAGGCCAAGTTCCCCTTGTCCCAGCCACCTGACGCCACCTCCCCATTCGTGCCCGAGATCCCTTTTCCCGGGAAGCGCCATGCCCGGGATCCAACTTCACTTCTTTCCTCACCAAGTGGGATTGGATTCCCGAGCAGCGCAACAGAGCGCGCGGGCAGGAGCTCCAAGTTAGGGGACGGAGGAAGTTGGCCAAACAAGCGCGTTTGTGGGTTACAGGTCGGGGCGGATAGGGCCGGGGAGGGTGATGGTCCCGGGTCTACGATGGGACGCAGTGCGGAAAGGCTCGTGGGGAAAGACAACGAAAGTTCAAAGATAGGTCGGTACCTTCAGGTCGCGGGAGGTGGCCGCCGGCGGGGGTCAGGGTGTAGGGGTACCACCAGGCCGGGGAGCGCTCCAGGTAGTGCGCGGGCAGGGCAAACCTCTGCGCCGGGATCTCAAAGCGGGGGAAAGCCAGGTCGCCCACCTGCGAGAGCGCGAAGCCCGCGGCTCCCTCCAAGGCTCCCTTGGCCGCAGCGGCCGCGGCAGCTGCCGCGGCGGCGGCGGCTGAGGCCGGAGCGAAGAGCGTCCGTGGGGGCGGCTGCGGCTTAGGGGGCGGCCGATGGTGGTCTCCGTTGAGTAGGTTCTTGATGGAGAACGGGGACTCCTTGGGCGCGGGAGGCGGGGGAGGCGGCGGTGGGGGCTGCGCGCTAGCGGTGCCGGGGGCGTCCGGCCCGGGCTCCGGCATGGTCCCCTCTCCTCCGAGTCCCCGGGAGGGAGGGAGCGGGACAGGCGGGCGTCTGGGCGAGCGGACGGGCGCCGGAAATCAGACCATAAACGGAACTCAACTACGGGGCGCAAAGTCGGGGGCCGCCCCGGGCGCAAATCCAGCGGCAGGAGGGCGGGGTGAGGGCCCGGCCGGGGCGGGCTCGCATGGGGGAGGGGTGCCGAGGGGCGGGGAGCGGCCCTGCCGCGGCACCGAGGGAGCGAGGCGGCTCGGCGGCGGCGGCGGCGGCGGCGGCTCCCGGGGAGGAGGCGGCAAGAGCAGTCCCCGGCTTGGGGCTGCGTCAATCCGGCGCCGGATGCTAATGATGAAATCAAAATGTCATCCAAGTTAAATGCGGGGAGTATACGGCGATTGGGCGCGTACAATGGCAAATGGGATTAGGCAGCGAAGGCGCAGCCCGAGCCCGGGCCCCGCAGCCGCCTGCGCCACCGCCCCCTCCTCGCCTTGCCTCGGATTTTGGCGCTTTGGCTTCGGGCTATAAGAGTCCGCCTGTTATTGGCTTTATATAGTCCAATTAGGCAGCAAATGAGGACAAGCCTATTAGCACAAAAGGATATTGGCTCCTGCTAAAGAGGCACTCGGAGCGCTCCGGCGAGGGCAGGAGGAGAGCGAGGGACGCGAAGCCGGCGGCGCCCCGGGTCGGAGCGCACTGACAGCCGCGGCGCCCAGAGCCCGCGCCTCCCTCTCCCCCCTGCAGCTCGGGGACCCGCTTCCAGCCGCCTGGCCTGCGGGAGGGGGAAGGGGCGGGCCGGGCCCACCCGGGTCACCTCGGGGTTATCCGCGCTCGCAGCTGCCTCTTCTCCGCCCCCCAGGGGCTTGGCAGGGGCCCGCCGCCCCCACGCAGCTGGAGAACCAAGCAGCGCCAGCCCAAGAGGCTGGACGCGACCTCCGATCTGCGGTGAACTCAGCACTTGCCTACCCTTTGGGGGTCCAGCATTTTCCCTAAAGCATGCCAAAGGCGCAGCCAAGAAGAGGGGATTTAGGTTCCCCACCCACCGTCTCGTCGACAGGAAGGGGCCTGGACTAAAAGTCCTTGCACCGCGTCCGCGGTCTCAGGAATCCGCGTGGCCTTGGCCTTTGGCCTTGGGAAACCGAGGAGAGAGCCTTCCCCCGAGAGCAGGAGCGGCTGTGCGTCTCTACGCACAGGGTGTGCGCGAAAAACAGGCTGACGCCCGCGCGTCACTCGGTGGAGAGATGTGCACCGACGGCTACGCTACGCTCTGCAGGGCATTCCTCTCGTCTGGCCGCCGGGGCCCAAACCTTGACGATCCACTCTGAGCCCGTTGCCCCGAAAATGCACTTTCTCCCGGGAAGCCTCTCCCGCCAGCGTTTGGAGCCGCCTGACGCTTCAGTGGGGGCAGTGCGATCTGTAGGCACAACGGCGCACCTGCCTCTGCGGCAGGCTTGGCACAGCACCGAAGCACGTCCCGACTGCCGTCAAGTCCCTGGAGAACCCTGCTGGACTTCTGAGCTGCACGGAAGGTTACTCTGCTCCATGGACTTTAAAATCAACTCTCCAAATTGCACAAGAAAGCTGGAAGGCAGGCATTTAAGACTCTAAGCATCAAATAAACCGGAATTGCTTGCGGAGTCCCTGGTCAGAGAAAGGTGGGAAAGTGGCTGTCACTCCCTTCCATGCACTGTGAGCTTCCATACACCCGAGGTCTTCTGGTAGCCCCTTCTACTATCGTCTTTTTTTTTTTTTTTTTTCGTTAGATCTAGCGCTCACCTAACTCAAGGCCGCCCTGCATTGGCTGGCGCGACTGCTTTAGTTACCCAGTTGAGAAGTAGGCACGTTATATTTTCCGATCCCGTGCTTCCCACCTTTCCCCAACAAATCTCAAAGGGCGCATTTAATGTTTCTTTCAGCAAATATTCACCTGCAGTAGTGAACCCTGTATTGATTTGCTTTGGGAACCAGGAATCATTGTAAATGGTGCTTCCATAAACAATTATTATCCTCATTATCATCATCACTTCCTCGAGTTTGCACAGGGATTTGCTGAAATATAAAACGCTATTCCATCCAAAAATCTGACTTTGGAACCAGTTACAGCCCTAAGACTTGAACATTCAGGTTTTATAGATAGAAAAAGGCTCCTGGAGAGGAGACCGGGCCAAGGTCACCCAACCAGTGCTGGACACCCAGAAGTCATTTCCTCTCCAACTGCAGAAATAACTGGAGGCGCCTATGTCTAAACCAGTTCAGAGGGCGCCGCCCACACCGACCGGCCACGCGGCAGAGACTATGATGGAATGGCCCCTGCGTGTCTCTGTGCGCGCGCGCACGTTGCGGGAGCGCTCCAGTCTCAGGCAGAAGCGTGCAGAACTTGGCCAAAGTTCTGACTCAAGGAGAGCTCTTTAAGCTGAAACTAGCGGGAAAGCTTCTCATTGCCGGGGAAGAAAGAAGCGTTCCGCAGACTTCGCCGAAAAGTTCTGGCTGGGGAAGTGAGCTCTTGGCTAATTGCAACGGGGGACTAGACCCAGATGGGAAGGGGTGCAGGCTGGCTGGAGAAGAGTCCGCCAAAAAGCAGACCTTGCCCCCTGCGGCGCCGCTGCCGGAACCTCACTCTCTTTGGTCCCAAGCTCTCACGGCGTCTTCCCTCCCAGGGGCGCGCAGGTGCGCTGGCTCATGTATGTGCGTCTTGATCAGGGAAGTGAGATGCTCGGGCGTCAGCACCCCCAGCCCATTCCCTAAATTTCAGGAATGCTGAATTTCAACAGCCAGGAGAACAGATTTAAAAAAAAAAATTTTTTTTCCCCTGGCTCTTCCGGAAAGCTCGTGGTATATAGGGTCCCAGACGGGAACAGAGACCTTCACTCGCCCTCTGGCGAGCGGTGTTGATCCTCGGTTTACTTGCGCCCGCAACTCCATTCAAAGTCAGGCAAACGGCGCCCTCTATGGGACATCCTCTAAACCAAACCTACTGGCTCCCGGTGAGAAACCACAGTCCTGGCACACAGCGTTTAAAAACACACGTGGGCTTACTCTTCCCGGTCTTGGCTTGCGAACAAAAAAAGCACTTTTTTTTTTTCTCTGAATTCCGAGACAAGCAGAGAGTGAAACACTTGCGGAGCTCTGCGGATCTCTACCTGGCCACCATAGCAAATGCTCTCTTTTGTCTCTCCCCCTGCCTCCCTTCTTTCCTGACCCTGTTTTAGGGCAGGTTTCATGTTCCTGCTTTTAACTGACCCCTTAGGTCCCCACCCTGTCTTCAGGCTCGATGTGAACTGCTGGAAGGGTGGAGGGCGGTGGGGCTGTCTCATTCCTCTTCCCAGGACTCAGCGCACAGCTGGTCAACCAGTGATGCTCAGTAGCCTCTTGTTAATGCCTGAATGCTTGAGTGAATGAATGAATTCAGGTTCCACTGCAGATGATTTGCCTAGCTGATTAGGGTCCTTCAGATAGCCTGTTCATACCCCAAAGCATTTTTTCTTTAAAGGGTTTAATGAGAACCTGAAGTCTTTTGACAATGCATCTTAGAAAACCTGGACTTTCCTAGTGGCTTAGATGGTAAATAATCTGCCTGCCATGCAGGTGACTCAGGTTCGATCCCTGGATCAGGAAGATCCCCTGGAGAAGGGAATGGCTACCCACTCCAATATTCTTGCCGGGACAATTCCAGAGACAAAGGAGCCTGGTGGGCTACAGTCCATGAGGTCTCAAAGAGTCCAGACACTACTGAGCGATTAACACTTTAACAAAACCTAAAGGAGCCCTAGCAATAGGTCCCCTGAGGAGTCCTCATGGGCTAATCCAAGGCAGGTAGACTGTGCAGAACAGGGCTTCTGCAGCACAGGGCAGAGGGAGCCTGAAAATGCTATGACTAACACCTGACTTTCACCTGAAAGAATGAGGCCTGGCAAAGGATACTCACAATGGCACCTGCTCCCTAACCCCAGCATCCACGCATCCACAGCACATACATACACATGCACACATACAGGTCAGCAAGTAGTGAGTTCTTGGAAAGGTGAATATTTTCATAATCTCAAAAAATTCTGCTTCCTTCCATAGGATCCTTCTTTTTGAAACAGTTTCCTGGGATAGTCCACCTGCTTATCTGTGGAATGGGAGTGACTGTTTAAGGCTTCTAGACAAGATTTCAGAGCCCCCAGGCATGAGGACTCCCCACAGTTAACCTAGCCAGGGTTTGCATTGGTCCTGAGGGTAACACTTTAGACAAAAGCCTGCAGTTAGCCTGAGGACGCTGCCCCAAGCTCCATGTGCTCTGGCCCTCTTTCCTGGAAAGTTCTTTCCCTGTGTTCCAGTGCTGCCTGGAATTCAGCCAAAGAATGGGTCAATGACTGTGACTCTGAGAAAATGCCCAGCCCTCGGAAATGGGTCATAGCTGTGCTGTCCTTGATTGTATAAACTGACATGCAATGTCCTTAGAGTGGCTAGCCCTTTTCTGAGAAGAAAATCCCATCAGTGTTGGATTCATCAAGTTCCAAAGGGATTCGTATCCTAAAAAATCCACATTCCAGAAATGAATAGATAAAATGGGATATATGCACACGCTGGAATATTATTCATCAGTGAAAGGAAATACTGACATATGCTACAATATGGATGAACCTTTGAAAGCATTATGCTAAGGACAAGAAGCCAGACATAAGAAGAACACATGTTGTGTGGTTACATTTATATGAAATGTTGGCACAATAGGCAACTTCATAGAGACAATAAGTGAAAAAGTGGTTGCCTAGGGCTAGGGGATTGGGGGCAAATGGGGAATGACTGCTAATGAGTACACAGTTTCTGTGGAGCATGATGAAAATGGTCTAAAATTGATGTGACAATGGTTGCCCAATTCTTTGACTATACAAAATCCTCTTGAACTATATATTTTAGATGAATGGATCATGTGATACATGAATGGTATCTCAATCAAGGTGTTATTTAAGAGTCCACCCCCCAGCCACCAGGCACAGGCACAGGCTTTCCAAAGCCTCTTGTC